AATAAATAATGGAAATGATCATAGATATAAAAATAGCCAAAGGAATTGATATGAGACTAAAAAGAATTAAAACAAGACTTAAAATTGAGCCAGGAGACTCCACAAAATGAATTAAAGCAACATCTGGAAAATTCTCCAAAACAATTAATGATAAACTATTCTTAGAAACATCTTTTCTGAGTAGCAACTACAAAGCTCTGTCTGTTCTTATAAAATGGATGGCAGCTGTGAATTGACTGCTCTATACCAGCAGGTTTTCCAGGAGTAGAGGAGACCAAGAAAACTTTGTCTAACTTGAAATTTGCTAACGGAGATCAGCACTTGGTGGTTTGGGCCGTTAAACAATAGCCTTGAAAAGAGAATGAGGGAGACTATAGAAGTCAACTCTTTGGGCGAGGAATTGGGCCAGACAAGAAGGTGATTGAAGCAGAGAGAACATTTGTTGAAGTTTTCCATCCTGTTTTTACTCAAAGATGCCTGGAGGGGAGAGGTCAGATTAGTTTAGCTCAGATAATACAACCCTCCACCTCTGTATGTTTGAAGGAAAACTCCCTGGGAAGCTTATTTGGCACAGTTCAACATCCTAGTCCAAATGAATGGTTGGGGAGATGAACAGATGAACAACATATGGTCAGAGACATGGAGCAGTTGTGAGAAACACTGTTTGCTCTGAACCCTTAGGCACATTTCCATGTTAGCGGCTGACTGTCTTGTCTACCCCCTCATCAATTCCTTCTAAACACTGTTCTTAAGCACATTTGAATAATTTTGGCTAGCAGGAGAAGTAACTAAAAGCTTAAAAATACCGGCCTTTCAAATTATTTATGTGTAGAGAATTGCAGCCAAGCAGCTGCGCTCCTCTGAAAATTTATCATCCTGATACAAAGTCTGGTGAAACACCTTTGCCTGCTGTGGTGCCCACTTTTCCTCCTCTTTAGCAACTATGAGATCAGAGCAGGTGTAGAGTTTCTCTCCATGTTGCTGAACACAGTTAACATTTATTCAAACTACAACTGTCTTTCTGCACAGGTGCTGTGCAAATGCTGAATGCTGAGGGATAACATAAAGGCTTTGCTCTTCCTTCAGCAGTATTCTGTAGTTTGAAGAGTCAGTCCCAAAGGGATTAAGAAATTTCTTCCATGAAAAATTGTTTTTCTTTAACCAGTGCTCAGAATGCTTCCAACATCTTTAGCTGACCCCAGAATGATAAATGAGGTCATCTTGCTTAAGTCTATGTTACTTTTACATTATGCTACTGCAGCTCAATAAACACTCTTAAAGGAAAATCTCATTTTCATAATAGAAAAAAATGAAATGCCTTTCTGATATGACTTGCACCATTTCAGGTCACTCTGTTCTCTCTGCCATTTATTGAACTGCATTAGCATCACCTTCAGAGGAAGCAGGTCACCCTTCCTTTTATATGAATGTACAAAGTGAAAAGTGAAAAGGGTGGGTGAAGCAAAAGCAAGAAATCACAATTAGTTTAAGTGCTGCTCTTAGAACATTCCAGTCAAAATTGAGAACTGAAAGGAAGAAATAAGGGGAGGAGGAGGGAACAGTTCTAATTTGAATGGTAAGTTTTCATTTAAATTTCAGTGCCTAAAAAAAGGCCAAGAAACTAGGATATGAGTAGTGTGAAACTGTCTTATCCAATATACGTTTTTATCTGGAAATGGTCTTAGGTAGGTAGTCAACATGATTGAAATACATGCTGAAATTTGTTCTTCCAGAAATATTTGATCTCCTTCTCTAAATGAAAGCTATTAATTAATGAAACTGTGATTGTTTTTATCTTCTCTTAGATGAGGTAATTTGTCTGTAATAAAAAATGGCAGGATTATGCCCTGTCTGCTGCCTTTTCTATTAAATGACAATATTACTAAGGAAGATAACTAATGAGATCCTTGCATCCTACATTTATGAATACACTTACACTAAGCTGTCCCTCTTCCTCAGAAATACAGCTGTTCTTACAAGTCTAATTTGAAACAAAATTTAGCATTCAGATGTGTGGATCAGCATTTTCCAAGTTGTTGATGACTGTGGGGAGGCAAAATTTTACTTTAAAAAGGTGTATGCTCAGAGAAGCCATTACAAATGTTTTCTTTTCTCGGGCAAAGGTTTGTCTTATTTTTCCTGCTTTGTTTGTTTGTTTGTTTGTTTGTTTTAGTAATTAACCATTCCAGCACCTTTGTTCTTCTGAAATCTATATCTACATTCGCCTATTTGTCTATTCATCTGACAAAATCAGTACTTAAAGAATACATAGTCTAAGATAGACTAAGAAAGAAGCAAACAGGGTATTTCAGTCAACAAGAAGTAAATCTTTACATAAAACTGCATTATCATAACAGATTGATATCATAAGGTCGTCTCTAGAGCTTCCTGAGTTTTTCTTCTCTACCTGCAACTGCTTTTGCATATCTTCATCCCAGAAATGAAGTATTTCAGTAATTCTCTGGGACATGGACATTCCTACAGGTTTGATCAAGACATTTATGTCTGAAAGTCCTCCCAGAAGCTTATCATAAGCAAACAAAAATCTTCATCCCTTTCAGGAGTGAAATAAGAATATACAGAGATTTTTTAGTATTTTTTTAGGATGCATGGTGGGCTGTTCATCTTCTGAACTGACTGCCATGATGTAGAAGCTGAGAGCTGATAGTTAATCAAGTTTCCTCACAGTAGTTTGACAATCAAGTATTTGTATATACTATTCAAAAGTGTGAAAGAAAAAAGAAATGGTAGAGAATGCAAAGTATAATCAGAAGAACAGAAAATATTCATATTTACTTAAACTCTTGAATCTGTTTATTTCAGTGTTCAGCTGTAGGATGTTGGCAAGCAGGAAGTGTTCTGTATGGGTAGCATGTTTGTCCATGCTATATGACATAAAGAAATTAAATACATAAGATATCTTAAGAGAAAAATTGATTTTCTAATATGTGTACATTTTGACAGATATTTAATAGCACAATAAATGTAAAGCTGCCCTCATTTTTGTTTTGTACCAGAACTGTATTAGGTAAAAGAACTGACGATCTCTCCCTAAACCTAAACTGAATCACACTTCTTACGCACTTAATGATTCAAAGCTGGGAGGAGTGGCTGACACATCAGAAGGCTGCGCTCCCTTTCAGTGAGACCTGAACAAGCTGCAAAGTAGAGTGAAGAAGAACCTGATGAGAATCAACAAGGGAGGTGTAGATTCTTACAAGTTGGGAAGAATAACCACATGCATCAGTACAGATACGGGGATGACCTGCTGGCGAGGAGCTCTGTGTAGAAGGAACTGGGTAAACTGGTGGACACCAGGTTGTCCATGAGCTGGTAGGCTGACACTGTGGCCAAGAAGACCAGTGGCATCCTGGTGTGCATTAAAAAGTCAGTGGCCAGCAGGTCAAGAGAGGTGATCCTCCTCTCTTCTCTGCCCTGCTGAGGCCACATCTGGAGTACTATGTTCAGTTCTGAGCTTCACAGTTAAGAAAGACAGGTTACTTCTAGAGTTCAGAGGAAGGTCACAAAGATAGAGAGGGGCTTAGTACATCTCTCCTCTGGGGAAGGCTGAGAGACCTGGGACTGTTCAGTCTGAGAAGAGAAGACTTGGTGGGATTTTATCAATTCTTATAAGTATCTAAAGGGCAGGAGTCAAGCAGATGGTGCCAGGTACTTTGCAGTAGTGCCCATCAACAGGACAAATGCAGTGGGCACAAACTGGAGCACAGGAGATTTCATCTAAACAGGAGAAAGAACTTTTTTACTTTGAGGATGACAAAGCACTGGAAAAGGCTGCCCAGAGAGGTTGTGGAGTCTTTTTCTCTGGAGATATTAAAAACCCGCCTGGATGCTTTCCTGTTTAACCTACTTCAAAGAATCTACTTTAGCAGGGGGCTGGGCTAGATGATCTTTGGAAATCCCTTTCAACTCCTGCAATTCTGTGATTTGGCAGTGGGAAAATAATTAGAAATAATATACTATATTATTTATATGTAAAATGCTTTAAATGGAGGAGATATATAGAAAAAAATGAAATAGTATATTTTTTCTTTAAAACTAGGCATGCTGCATTTGACCACATCAGCTCTGAATTACAAATACTGACAATTCATCTTTAAGTCTTTTTTATGTATGGACAAGCTGTCCCTGAGATGAAAGATTAACACTAATTTCATATCCTCTAAATTTTCTTTATGATACTGTATAGGAACTGTTGAGTTATGGTCTGAACCACTGATTGATCACCTGAGGCAAGGACTCAGTCAGCCATGGGAGCACAGGTGAAGGCAATTCAGCTGCATGACCAGAAAGGGTGGAGCCTGTCTCCACCTCTCCTAGACCCCATTTAAGGGCTGACTGCCTTTAGTAAAAGATTTCCTTTTGGAGAGTTCTCCTTGTGTTGTGTTGTGTTGTGTTGTGTTGTGTTGTGTTGTGTTGTGTTGTGTTGTGTTGTGTTGTGTTGTGTTGTGTTGTGTTGTGTTGTTTGTTTTTTTTTCTGTAAGCTTAGGATGTAGGTGAACATTGTTTCTTTTTGCCACAGTGATCTTTCTAAATATAAACCTGTAAAATACTATCTTAACCATACTGCTCTTCTAACTGTACATTTGTTAATTAGACAGCTATGCATAGGTACCTAACGAGAACATGGTGAAAACTTTGTCTCACAGACAGAAAAACTAAAGCTCATTGAATAATTTTTCTAGTACCATAATGTGAGGAGGATCATAAGAGCTTCTTATAGCTCAAGAAGTCTCAAAAATTAAACTTACTGAATTAAAAGACATCACTTTTTTGATAGCAAAACAACAAAGTAGTTAAAATGAGTAACTTAATATTTGATTTCTACTAGATATGTAAAAAGATTTTAGTAAATTTTGTAAACGTGCTTTTTCAGAGTCTTGTTCTTGAAAGTTTGTCTTTGTTTTGAAATGTTTCTTCATTTCATTAGTCATTAATATATAGTAATCAGTATAGCTAGTTTTTACACAGCTTCAGATCTTTCAGGTTATCCTGCGTGCTTGAGGGAGAAAACCATTTGCTCTTGAAGGTAATTTATTATTCATATTTGCATATGAATCTGTATGTTGTGATCTTTTTCTAGCTGTGCTGTTATTTAATGCTTTACTTAACTTTTGAAAATAGAAAAAGGTGTCTACATTTCTTTATCATCTTGTAATCCTCATTTTAGGACAATAGTAGAAAAAAATTGAGATTCATTAACAAATAAAATTATAAAATTTTTTTGTAAGATTTAGAAAATACCATATGTAAGCATTAATAGGATATTTCTCAGGAGTTGAAAATGTCAGTGTAAATTTTTGTGCATTTTCTAATATCTCATGCTGTTTGTTTGTCTCTTTTCTCTACAACACAAAGATCAACATCCACTCTACTTTTCTTTACTTTGTAGCAAGCCTGTGAAATATTGATTTTTTTATATGTACTTAACTCCTTGAATAATAGATCTCTTAATTATCACACCAGTTGCTAGCCTAGAATACATTTTTACAGCATAGAATTATGGAGAACGTATGTGGCTAGATTAGGAAACTGATTATCTGTACTTAAACTAGGAAGTTGAATTTGTGTTTTTTGAAGTCCACAAGTAGGTTGCTCACCTCTCTTAGGTCTGTTCTGCATGGTCTGCAGATGGCTTATTATGCTATAATTTCAGTAGTTTCCCTGTTAGCCTGAGGAGACCACGTAATTCGAAGGCAGACTTTAAAAAGCAGACTGCTATATAAGGATAGGCATGTTGACATTTCAAAAGATTGGGGACTAAAAAGCACAAGTGATTCTGCTTTATGTGTGTGACTATTTTATAAGTAAAAAGCTGGGATCCCTTTGTACGATTTCAGATTTATTTTTTTAAGCTGTAAATATTAGAAACATATGTTGAATGAATCCCTGCATTCTGAATCAAAACAGTATATTTTGCTTTTCCTCCCTCTATGGCCAATAACTTTTACTCAGACTGTGTCAGCAACCAAACAGGAACATAAATTTCTTTGAGTCACTTCTCCTAACCTTTATTTCTACCAGCTGATTATCAAGAGGTTTTTTGACCATTCTGCTTTTGAGACATAGCCTTATACTACAAAGGTTAATATAGCCTTTGGTATTTTCAGCAATACAAAAGTCCCGAAGAAATCCGGTGATGAGTATAATTGAACAAACAGCTACTGCATTTCTCAATCTCAGTCTTCAGGTTCAGAGCTGATGGATTTTTTTCCTGTTCCAGCTGACATCATCCTGACGAAGACTGTTTTCACTTCCACATTCATTGCTGTCTGTGTCTAACTGGCCAGAGACTTATTGAGAATTTGTCGACTGTATTATCAAAGCAGACTCTTGTTTGACTGTCTTTGTCTATTGCTTCCTTTAATTTCTGCTACTCCCGAAAAAGGCTGCTGATCCTCTATGAAACATGTAAACTAATTTTTTTTCACTCAATTGTTTGCAAAACTGCTAAAAGGAGAACTGAGCAGGGGTTACGCTTTATTTCAGGAGTCTTGCATTTTCCTCAGCACTTCTTAACTGACATCTGGGTCCTATTTTAGTTTGATAACAGGGTTTATTCAGTAATATATACCTGCGAGTTCTTATTACAGATGTAAACATATGTATGCCACAGAAGCCTCAAACCCCAGCTAATAACAAATGCTACTGTATGTTTAAATACTGCTGTTATTAAACTATTTCTACCAGTACAATCACCCTAATCACCAGTTTTTGTTCCAATTAAGTAATGCATTATTACTTTGTTTCTTTGAAAAACTTCTGAAATTTATTTTCAGGTGATTTAGGTACCTGACCCATTTGTACTTGATGAATGCTTAACTCACTCCTGTGGCGAGTTATTTCTGTCAGGTATGGTGTGACAGAGACAAGATAGGTTTCATCAATATTTGCAAAGCACAGCAACCTTTGTTTCAATTTAATGTCAGATTTTTTTCTACAGGAACCTGTAATCACCTCACCCACTATGTCATTGCTACTAGAACTTCTTAGACAAGAAGCATGGTATGTGGCTGTCCAAAAGGGCAAAGCTGACAGGAGACAGGTAAAAATATCTTTGTTCAGCTCCAAACATCTGAGAATCTGAGACTATGAATTTTCTGAAACCTGTCTATAGCTCTCATGTTTAAGAGACATGTAAGAAACGGAAACAATTCCTGTCCTTCATCTTCTGCTCAAGATGAAAGAATTCTAACCTAACCATACAACATCAAAGATAATATGTTTTAGAAATTCTTATTTTCTGATGTTTTCATGATCCATGACTTTCATTGTTGGCATTATCAAAAGGCTGCTGGACATGTATTCATCCTTTTTCCCTCTATAAATCATAGTTGACTTAATTTGAATTTTAACTGGCTCTGAACTCTTCATGCGTGATAACCTCTTGCTATAGTTCCCTGCTTGTTACATGTTGCACTATGTTTCCGTGTAGATGCCTAGTTGTTTAGATGTTCAACATTTCCCTTTTCTTTTTTAAATGTATACTATAGGTTTAGGAATGAACTTAAAGAAAAAAGTGTATACCTGCTATATTTACCTTATTTAAGAGACAAAAAGTAGGGAAAAAAATCTCTTCACATATGTGTGTGTGTGTGTGTGTGTGTGTATATATATATATATGTATAATTCACAATACATATATTTTGGTGAGCATCAGCGACAGTTGCAAACAGTAGGAAGTATAAACATTTAGGATAGTTAGAAAAAGCTTGTATGAAGACTAGCTTGAATAATTTAGTCATTTTCATGACTGATAATTTTAGAAGTGCAGCATAGAATATTTTATACAGTTTAAAAAATATTCTAACTGCAGGGGCTTTCTAATTCAGTGTGGGTTTTTTTCGTGGATATATTCAGCTCATTGAAGTAGTCTTTTTCTTTAGTTTCTCACTCACAAAGATGACAATTTCTTACATCTGTTTGCTTCAGATCTACTTTTATTAATTTTATATTATATTGATAGAAAGCTGCTCGTTACAAGTTATACTTCTTGTTTCTTTTGATAGTAATGAAATCAGTTTCAGTTGTTCCATTATGCAGAATGTTCCCTTATGCTGAATATGAATATAGACTCCATTTTTAGAGCATACTTTTCCAATATCTTTATAATTTTTCATGCTTCTCACACTCTTTCCAAATAACTATTACTAACCACATGCAGAGGCAGAATTTTAGCTGTTCTTATCTGTCCTTTGTCTTCTCTTGTAAGCTTCTCTAAACTTTTGTGTAGACAGAGACAATATATTTTACCACTACTCTTCACAGGTAAAAAGAACAAAGGACGAGTTCGAAAATGGAGTGTTCTTTCCGACTTGAAAGCAGAGTAGGCTCTAATAAAAAGTTTTATTTCTGTTTTTCCCAGTTAAATACGAATAACTCTTTCTTCCTAACTGCCTTTGCCAACTTGTATTCCTTTGTACGTTGCTGACCTCTGTTATGCATGCCAAGGTCTACATCACACACAGTACCACCATATCCTCACCTCCTTTCTCCAGAATTGCTTGTTCCAGCATTTTCACCTGCTCTCCATATTCACAGATTATTCCTTTCTATGGGGTCAATACATCTTTTCCCCTGCTTCTAATTGCTTTCCATCTTCCATCTTATCTGATCCTCCAGCTGCTCTCTCACACAAACCCATTTCCAGTAACACAAATGTAGATGTTCTTCATGTTCCAATGAGTCTCATGTCACTATTTCTATATAGACTTCTCAGTTAGTATTGTTTAACTGCACTGAAAATTGTATTTTTCTTAATACCAAACTGAAGCAAGTTTGGTGTGGGGGGGGAAAAAAGATGATCCTCAGAGTGCTGTGAAAGACAACTCTATCAGATGTCTGCAATCTATGCTTTATGAGTCTAATGAAGAGAAAATGCTGAATGTATACTGAAACACGTGTTGAATTCTGAGTGTTTTTTCTTTTTTACTATTTTCAGCAGAGCTTTTTCACAAAGACTTGTGGGAAGCCTATACGAAGAAGCTTAGATTCACTTACTGAAGAATAATTTGACAAATATTTATGAATTTAGCTAGGATTTTCTCTTTATTTGGAGAAGGAAAGGGAAATATAATTTTCTCTTCCCTCTCTCCTCTCCCTTTCTATTTAAAACCTTTGCAATAACTTTTCAAATTGATAAATATGTATAGCAGTGGAAGGTAAAAATCTGCAGCTATGTACTTTTCTGTGTCCTAGGCAGTGAAAGTAACCTAGTTATGTATTTCTGGAAAATGGAATTACTCTCCTGGAGTAATTTTATGTCCTTGAATTTTTCAGGTAATTCTAACTATTTACACTCTTTTGTTTCTCAACTCACGTTTGCACTCAGCATTTGGGACCCATTTGTTACATAAGGTGCAGTCACACATCATATTCCATACAGATTCAGAAGAAATGTACGTATGTTTGGATGTACATAGTGGAAATATGCATCCTCCACACAGAAAGTTCCTAACATTCCTGTAGAAATTTGAACATTGTTCACTTCCAGCTCCATAGGAAAACCTGCAGCTCTAAAACATACAAGCTGCCTGTTTCAACATCCTGTGTGATCTGTTCCAAGGCATAGGAGTAGAAGGTTTTAAATGAGCTTAAAACTCAGTGTGAAAAAGCTCAGAAAAGAGTAAACCTCTAATAAGAGGCCTGACAAATGCCTAGAAAGACAGCACTGTCAGACCAGAAAATATATTTGCTTTTTCTTATGCAGTCCAAAATAGGCTTCCATCTCTTTTGCTGAGCGTACTACAATATAATATTCTGAAGAATTTCTGTCATATCACTTTCTCACAAGCTTTACAAAAAGCACCAGACCACTAGCTCATGGCAGCTTAACAAATTTCTTTTATAAGATTCACCTTTCAAATATGTCATGGAAATAGGAATGAAAAGTTCCTGCAAATTAATAAGAATCAAGAGGTCTCACTGGTAATGCTTGTAGGAAACCCTTAAAACAGTCCTCAAGGACAAAATAATTGCCTTCACTTCAAGCAGAAAAAGTAATGGCCAGAGAAAGTTTAATCCCTTCAGACTATACTTGAACATGCTGAAAGAAAAGCCTTGGCAAGAAGTTGTTAAAATCTGTACAAAGAGGGAGGGCTTTACTAATTTAAGTATTTAATGAAGAAGCGCAGTAGTAAAACTGTAAATGTTTTGAGTTTCAGCTTACCTAAATTAAAGTATGTTTTCAGTGGTGGAAATGCTGGTTCTTAAAAAAAGACAACATTCTGTATTTTGAGATCAAGGCAAATCTAGCTAAAATGTAAAGGCATCATTTTTGCATATAATTCAACAATGGCTTAAAAAATAAGATGTCAAAAACTAGGTACTAATGACTGAGCTACGGTGCTGAATTGCTTTGATAAAAGTAAGCTTATTGAGTAGTATTTGACTGTTCATTGTATGCTTGGGAGCAAGAGAACCCGTGGGTACTACTGAATCCCTTAGAAGACCCAGAATGCTTCAGCTTGATGAACCAATCCAGGCTGCTGAAACAGTGTAATCCATCTACAGATTTTGACAAACTAGAGTTTACGCTGAGATGAATTTATTACTTCTGCTAGGTTTGTTTGTGATAAAAGTGAAAAGTAATTTTACAGCAAAGTGAAATTTCATTTTCTTTCATTTTTCCATTGAGATCCAGTAGCAACACTTATATAAATACTAAGACTCCATGGTACAACAGTTATAATTTGAACATAACATGGTGTTCATACTGTTAAATCAGGTTCTACAAACTGGGTATCTGCATATGCTTCCTCAGCTACAAAATGTCTCTACAACTCATTTCCACATCTGTAAAGCTGACATAATAATATTCATCTTATTTCTGAGGACCATTGTGAACATAAATTCAATAAGAGGATAATACTTGTGAAGATTTCTAGTAATACTTTTCAGATTGGAATAGGAATGTATGCTGCGAAAATTAATAAATTGGTCTTCTGAATTTGATTTGACTCCATTAAATAAGGACTAGCGGTATGCATTAAAAAGTCTAAAAGAAACATAGTTTAACTTTGAGTATTATTAAATGACAGGCAATCATGCTGATAGAAGAATCTTAAAATATTATTATACTATCATGAAGCTGAAGAGTGTACAACAATAAATAGAAGAAGTACACATGATCTGTTAAGGCTGTGATTCTGTAGTTTCCTGACTTCTAAATGCGTGCTCTTGGAATACTCAAAATGCTATAATATAGGTCATCTCTTTATATGCATTTGGTATGATGCGTACTATGGTCTATGTACATAAGATGTACATGGGAAAGACTTAACACTTTGAAAAATACCCTTCGTGTTTTTGTGAAACTTCAATAAAGTGTGCCTTATATGACACAAATGCTTTAATCCTTCAAGTGTATACTGCACTGAATACTTAGAACAAGTATTTCAATACAAATACAATAAAAAATGCTGTAACATTATCAGTTTTTTACTGATTGGTTCTATATCCACACTCGGTTCAGCAATAAGCAAACAGAGAAGTTGAGTTTCATCTGTTTCTGATTTATGAAGTGAGAAGTGATCAAGGGATGATTATTTAGGTTCATTTTAAAGAATTGCCTCCCATTTATACATAGCTCCCTTAGAGGGTCAGGGCAAATATGTTATAATCTATTTCATATTAGCAAGAACTGTGCAAAAGATTTTGTTGTTTGCTGGTAGAAACAATATAAAATAAGAGGAAATAAAACATTTGATGTTAGTGATTTTTAAAAAAGAAACCTTTTGAAATAAATTTGGAGAAACTATGCAGGTAAAATCCACTTTCGTAGTGATACACTTTCCTCCATTATGATGCTATATTTCCTTAAGAAAGAATATTTTTGGTTTTGTCTGGCACTGAAAAGTATTTTCTATGGAATTTTCTTCAATTTCAGTGGAAGTTTCTGTTTCTCTTTCATATGAATTCTTCATTCCAGACAGAGGTCATCACAGCTGCTATGTTTTTGCAATAGCTTTACATATAATTGTGGACATTTTTCCTTTATAGCTATATATCTGGCATAATTTAGTATAACCTTGTTTAGATATGGTTTAATCCAAAAATCGTGAAGCAGAATCTTCCTGTCTTTTTCAGTTACTGTGGATCACTACCAAGTTTCATGTAATTTTCAGTAAACACAGTAAGTCCTGAGCTTCTAGGCTCAGCCTTCCTTTAAAAGGATTTCATGTCAAAGACGTGTTATTCTTTCAAAAGTCAAATCACTTTTTGAACCCACATATGCCTCACACAATTGCCTTAATGGATATCAAATTTTTGTTCTTGTTTTCTTATCAGAGAACAATTTTGCAAAACTACTGGAAAAAATGAAAAAATGTTCATTTTTTTAATTGGGAGGATGAATCACAAAGTCTGTAGTGAAATATGAAATTGTGCTCTTGAAGGGACTTAAGTATAAAAGTTGAAAGAATTAAAAATGTAACTTTTTTGATTTTTGATTTTGTATTTGTATTGCCTTAAATGCTCATTTTGTTTTAAGATGCGTGTTTCTTTAACTGACTGAAAAAAAGTGTCAGCATGATGTTTTCCTTTGCTGCAACTGATAAGTTATCTTCCTGTATTTAATTCAACATACAGTCTTTTTGACCTTATTTTCTTCCGCTGTCAAACACAGGAATGAGATTGAAGCTGGATAGGCACCCAGCAGCCAGCCGAGATCAACCTATCACAGTTGTTCAAAACCCTAAATATTATTGTAAGTAATGTTTTACATTAACATTAACTGAACTGTTAAAAATAAATATAAAAGCTGTAGGAAAGTGGATCATAGATGAGCATTTTTGGGACTAATGTTTTGTTAAAAATGTAGAATTTCTTTTATTGCAAAATACACAAATATAGTCAGCGGAAATGTCAGCAAGGCTGGCGCATCTTGTGCATTCCCATATGCATAAGGAATAAGTTCAGCGCATCTGTGTGCTCTCTCCCCTAGCCCAGATTTGGTTCTTCACTTAGAGTTTCTAAGCGTTAAGAAGACAGGAGGGAAATCTGTCACAGAAGTGACTATAGCATCTACTCAGGCAAGGGAAATGGTAATGTAAAGGGCAGTAACCAGTATCTGGAGTCCACGATCTTTCCATCATCAATATTGTATTATACACAAGAGATTGCTCTTCTACATGAATTGCAGGTTCCTCTGCAGAATTGTGAAAATCCTTTGCTGGAAGGAATGCTTATTACTGCTTTTTCAAATATCTGCCAGCAACCACTGAGAATATAAGGCTTATGACCAACAGAAGTATCACTTCAAGCAACAAAAAGATAGGACAGTGAATAAACTTCCCTAATGGGAAACTGACTGTGACAAAC